CACGGAGGCATCCTCAGTTTTTATTCCTTTTCATCCACTAATGAAACTTCTCTTTAGCCTTTCAAGCATTTTTACAATCTCAGAAACTTTGTAGACGGCTCATCCTGTTGAGCTGGCTCGGTTGAGTTGTTAGGAGACAGGGGAACGGAGAATGGGCTGCTGGATTAGGAAAGGGTGGAAAATACAGGCTGGTGCACAGACGCTGTTCATATACTCTACAACCTCTTCACTTGCCGAGTTTAGTGAATTAATCTATCCAAAATAATATGATACTTCACATCATCCATTAGATTGATAATATCACAGACCTGCTTTCCCGTGAGGAAAACGGCCTGCTTGTTACTACCATTGTGCCATAGGCTAATGCTGAAATGCTGCGTTTAGTCTGGTCAACCAAGTCAGGAAATTCCCTAGTAACATAGTCAATGCGTTGCGATGGTTACAATGTTACGATAGCAACAGTTACTAATCAACACAAGCAATCAGTTGCTGTGTTATAGCTGTAGACTATCATACCCCTGATTGTAGTATTCGCTCTTGAGAATCTAAGGAAGGTCTAGGACTGGCTTTGTTCTGTAGCTCTTTGTCTTATAATTATTCTAGACTTTAGATTGATCCGATTATTATAAGCTTTACCTTATACCCCGACTCTGTCCCGTTCCGCCTCCGTCTTGTCTCGCCTTCGTCCCGTTCAGACCACATCCTGTTCCGTTCATATTCTGTCCCAACTACATCCGTCCCGTTCCGACCCTTTTCCTCCGAACTAGCCAACGAGCCTGACAGATAGCTGTCACCCATTGTCGAAAAGAGCAGCTGAGACACCCAAGGAGGCTATAAAACGACTCAAACTCTGAGAGGGACAGAAAGAGCGTGTATTTAGTGTCCCAGAGCGATACTTAACACGCTTACAAAATGAGAACCTCAGCCTGCCGGCATCAGAAGGGCCTGGGCAGCTTTACCAACCAAAGATCGCGATGGCTACTACCAGGGCAAAATGCGACAAGGAGGAAAAAGCGGAGCAGATCGTGTTTTGGCTCAGGGATCTCCCCCCAGGAACACTCTGTGTTTACTCAGATGGGTCATCGACCGTCCCAGCATACTCAGCCTATGGCTACGTCATATATAGGGGCGGTGAACTTATAGCGAGCGGTGGAAATTTCCTTCCTGGAGCGGAGGTCTTTGATGCAGAAATCACCAGGACAGTACGAGGCCTAGAGGCAGCGTTAGAAATTGTAGGTATTACAGATATCAAGGTACTCCTCGACAATCAAGAGGTGGTCAGAGCCCTCCAAAATAGCAGAGCAAATTCCTCGCAAGCAGAGGTAGTGAATTTCTGGGAACTACGCAAGACTCGACCAGCGATAGAGGTCGACTGGATTTCGGGACATAGCGGAATTCCAGGAAACGAAAAGATCGACTCGATGGCAATGTCAATCCTTGCGTCAAATAATCGGGATGGAAACATACCGGGACCAGAGTGCATCTGGGAGGAAACTCACGAAGTTCTGACTTTTGCAGCTCTCAAATGCCAGCTCAACATCTGGGAACAAAAACTTGCGGAAGAATGGTGGCTTAAGAGCAGATCCAGTTGGTGTGAAGATCTGAACCTACTGATGCGGAGAAAGCGTTCTCCGGAGCTAGCTCTACCTCGATGGGCATATCACCGCCTCATAGCAGCAAGGACTGGGCATGGTGACTTCGCCAGCTATCATAGACAGTTCCAACACCAGAATGAAGAAATGCTTTGCAAATGTGGCCGAGAAAAGCGGCCATGGCATTTTGCAAAGTGTCGCCCGAATATCCAGAAATGGAGGACGGAAATGAAGGAACCATGCCCTACGATCAGGAATATGATAGGGCAGGAAGGATGGCCGAAATTCTGGCGTTTTTTAACTGTAAAAAAGTGTTACAGCAAGATTGAATCGTGAACAGGAAATGTAAAGGTCAGCTGTGATGCTTCTTGGGACCGTTCGGTGTGATACGAGGATTAAAGTGTAGTGCAGGGCACTCGCACCTTAGAAATGGTGGTTTTATTTGCTTTCAGTTTTGTGTTTCTAGGTTTCTACGAAACAACGATGTAGGTAGCGAAGAGTCATAATTAGATCTAGACTACCCGTGCCATGCCCTCTGGGTGCTGTGGTAATACCCGGTCACGATAAAAATATCATCATCATCATCCATTAGATGATTTTATCAATCGTCGGTATGCACATCTAGCATCACCTTTATAGATCATCATCGTCAGTAAGAGTTCACATTTGATACCCACTAACACCCATTTAGCCACAGTTATACGCACTCAGTGTCCATCGTGTCATCAACCAGCGTGAGCGCGCCATCTCCGCGACTCACCATTGCACATGAGCCCGTGCCACTCCATCGACGGACAGCAGAGTCACAATTGCCATACACCTCACAGCTCATAACCATAATACATCCCTCCGACTTTGCCCCGTCACTGCCGTATTTCTACCCGTGGAGACCGAATATGGGTCGAAAATCTCATGACAGAGGCACTGATGCCTCAACCTTTATCGAATGCTCTACTTGATGTGCCGGCAAAATGGCGTACGTATTTCGTCGTTGGCGATTCGTCGCACCTTGAGTTATTGGTGCCCTTGGACAAGGTTGGATGAAAATAAGGCCAGCTCTTCGACTGTACCTTTACAGCGCCCAATAGTTGTGAAGGATTAGATGTCTACTTTTAGCTTAAATTGCGAGTATGACCTTTGTATCTTGGAGTGCCTTGGTGTGTCGCGAGAAGAAGTAGCTGGGAAATATCTTCCAGGAAAATTCAAGATAGTGAGTGTTGTCAGCAGTTGTAATATGAACATCCGACAGGTGTTAATGTCTCTGTGGTTCGTATGTGGGGTATAGATGGTTGAGTTTGTTGAGTTGTGCAGTCGTGAAATCTCTGCCGGTCGGAGTTTCAACCTAAGACTTGCCAAAACCACTCCTCCCGATCGCCATCTCGACGAAAACTCCCGAATTCACCCTGTGTCGTGACTAAATCTCGGCTTTTTTAGCATATATAACTCCCAGGCTCGTAAATCACACTGTTGTAGTCTGACGCTTTTCATCCTCGGACTTCACGGTGAATAGAAATGTTATAGGGCGTGGTGACATGCGAGAAAGGAACAGTATAGCGAAAGCCACAAGCCAAACCTAGGCGATTTGACCCATTTGTTGATGGAAACATCCCTTTTGTACACGGGGGAAGAACATCATAGTTGTAAAGTAACAATAGCTAGGAACTCACACATCCACATCTCCGTCATCTCACACATTGTGACCCAAAAACCTCCATCTCATTACTTTCACTCAACAACAAAGCTTCAAGAACCACCACTTAGTATTGGTGCTTGCAAATGAAATCCGAGGCATGAGTGGTCTAATTATAAATCTAGACTTCTACTTCGTACTTCATATCTGAATATGGGTCAGGGCTAGGTTGCTCCATACGCAATTAAAATCTGGTACAATAAGCCCCCTACTACTACTACTACTACTACAATGCTATATATTTCAGTCGCTACGCAAAACCCACGAAAATCATAGCTGGATACTGCTTGAATAGAGGTAATGGTCTCTTGTCAAGTTAGGTAGATGTTCAAGATATTATGCAATTATTGATAAGAACTGTCCGATTGATGTGCCCGTGCTCCATCATGTGTGGCTTTCATGTACTCGCTGTACACGATTTCTCGGGTCAGCATAACTCGAAAAGAACCTTCTTACATTGAGTTTTCCTACAAGAATCGAATGTATTGACTGTTAAAGATGTTAGGAATGGTGAGCAAAAAAGGGAGGTGAAAATCTACTTTGTGGTAGATGTAGCCCCTTCTTTCACGACCAAGCAATAACACTCAAGTCAACTGAGGTAACGAGCGTGATCTTATCATGGCTCCAGCAGGTGGTTGTCAAATTATTGCAGTCAAGTAAGTATTGGCAAAGCCCCTAGTCTTTGATCCTATCTATTTGAATCTTCCCTTGGAATACAGCCCTAGCAGGCTAAAAGTAGTCCAGATGCTGTATTTGAAAAGCGACACATGACTCGGAGATGATTTGCCAGCACACAATGGTTATTATTTGTAATAGGGTCGGAGACGAATGCGCAGCTTTTTTATCCCACCATTAATGATATGAGAGGATGAAGTTTATGCATGAGCTGTATACATGTATTGCAAATAATATGGCACGCTCTCTTCCCTTTTCCAACATCCCAAATTGTGTGCTCTTTGGCACTACACGGTTATGTTTGGTTATTTGACGGTATTAATCCACTAAGGTCGAGACTTGTAAAGACTTTGTAAACTAGCACGTTTATAGTAGAATCTGCGGATGACCGAGCTTGAATGGACACGACTCAAAGAGCTATTATGGCAGGGTACAGTTATGAATGAAGCATGAGGATGATAGATTTAACACTTCTTCATTGAAACTTTCCGGCCTCGTTTCTGTCGAGCAATTAGCTTGGCCAAGCTTGAATGTTATATCCATAGGATGACACAGTAGAGGATGCCGACATGGGTTGTCGTTGGATGAGAGGTAGAAGATGATATAGTTTACCCTTTAATATCCCGCAACTGATTGAAATTACTGATCCTCTCATGATAAAATTAGGGTCGCGTGAGTTTGATAACCATTGACATGGAAGACTTTTAGGATGAGCTTGGCTCGTCTATTCCTCCGACTAGACTTGTCGTGGATCAGGAGCCGGATGCTGCAGCATTAATTATTTAAAATTCACATATTCATAGGTTGAAATATGATCCTCTCTTAAGTAAGAGTATATCAGAGTATTTCTACCTACAGTGAATATCACCCAAATTGTTTACCAATATTCTCATTATTCTCGTCGACAGAAGCATTTTCATTGGACAATAATAAACAGAATTCCATTCATTCCCGCTATTTATAGTCCTCTCCAACGCTGGGCCTCGATCTCGATAATAGACGGCTCGCTATTCAAGTGCTTAATTCAGATCCGTGAGAAGGACATGCGCCAAATGAAGTTTCTAAATGCTGCTTTGACTGCGGCGTTGGCTGGTCTTTCACTCCTTGCGCCCACTGCGTATGGAAGAAGATATTTGGAATGTAATAGTGGTGAAATATTCCCATTTTCACAAATTCGAGAATACGGAATGGACGCTTCCCTCGATTTTACGAGAGAAGGCGACCCTGATCCACCCACTGGAGAATGGTTCGGGGTATATGGATTTACTAGTCCGGCAAAGGATGGAAGTGAGTCTTCCTACTCCTTCGAATTAGCCCTCACTAAAAAGCTTTTGCCACGATCAGGAATCATCGATTACTTGGTGCAATCATTTAGAGATTACCCATACTTCACACTCCATGAATTTACAGGAACAAAATGGGAAAAGTGTATTCTCAAGGGTAGCTACCTAGACGCCACAGAGCCGTTATGATTTGTATCAAAGCACAGGTCTACATGGAAAACTTCACATGATCCTTTCGCGATGGGGTTGAAATTAAAATTTAATATTAGAACATTGCCGGTTAACACCGCTGTGTCTGACTGAAATTTACGATCTATCTGTTGTTACAACGGGGTTCACTTGGTTTAATGCCTTAAAAGTGCTGAGAACAAGTGGTATTATTCTATCTATCCGTTCTGTATCCCTCCTCCAACATCAATATCTAAGGTACAAAGGGAAGCTTAACGCCCTAACCATATCACGTGATGCGCTGACCAATACTTTTGGAAGTCAACACTTAGTACAAGCCATCTATCCCTATGCCATTCACCAGTGAACCGACACTATCAATAGCTCCCAACCTCTAAAATTACCAACTGAATTGACTCACTCAGTGACCTTGCTCATAGACGTCTTAGGATCAGCTGTTTATCGGAGTTGTAAGCATAGATGAGAGAAGACCATATGAAACATCAACGAGCCTCATGTGCTTGAAGGTGCCTGTATTAATTCCGCGCATTCCACGGCCGAAATTATGTATACCAGAGACAGGCTTGGGAGGCAAAGAATGACCATCTTTCCGACTTGTCTTCATGTTGTGAAGGTAAGAGCTTGCGGAGGTTAATTGGCAGAAGGTTTACAGATGATTATTGACAAATCAATCTGAACTGCTGATATATTTGGTATTCAGAACTATGAGGATTTAGGAGGCAGAAAGCGCTACTTATATACATATCTGAGGTAGCTAGACTCTCGCCTTATTTACCCAAAAAATATCACAGAATATTCTAGTCTCCTCCATCTGGTAGTATTATCTAGAAACACTTTCCATACAGTGCTCCATTGTTCCTCTATTCATCATGGAGCCACCTGGAAAGTTCTTCCTTCACTCTCAGTGATAATTACCCTTGTGCATCGTAATCCTGGCCTCACTAACACAACACTTCATCTTATGAGATTGGGTTCTAGTCAATGGCTTGTAGCCTAAATTTATTGCGGCGCAGGCTACTTTTCTATGACGAGCTTTACCCGGATTGGGACTGGTGACTTGGACCAATTCGTCTTCGAGTTTAGGCTGTGGCAGAGTAGCACTCCTGGAAATACAAATGGGGCGCAGAAGGGGGTATCAGGGGGGTGCATACCAGATGAGAAGTATGGTACAGGAGAAGAATGAAAAAATGAAATTTTCTATGCAATAGGCACAAACCCTGCACTTAAAGAGCATGACAAGTGAAAGACTAGCTTCTCCGACGACTATATACAACAATAGCTCAGTTTGACATTTGGACTACTGTCAGATTGGAGCGTAGGCGTTTGACCTGAAGCGGAATAGGAGGGCGAGAAGAGGTCGGATGGATCGCGAGAGATGACTGAAGGTCTACTGGAGATAACTAGAAGGAATTAAAGGTTTGAAAGGTGGGTAATATATATATCTAAAAGGTCTAAAGGTTCGAGTGGGTATTGATGGTAACTAAAGATACAAGAGGTAACTGGAGGTGACTAGAGGTAATCCGAGGTAATCCGAGGATGGTGATTGTGACAGAAAATTAAGCGTGAAAACTCTATAGCTACAGGCCAAGCCATCATACATGTACTTGCTTTCATCCCACTAGCTCATCATAACATAGGAGCCGGCAAAGACGAATTCTTCATCTTCCAGTGGTTCCGGTGTAATCGCTCAGTATGCTCTGCATATCTGGGATAGCCAAGAAAAATCGCAACCGAATCGAAGTCGAAAGCAAACACATACATATCTCTATTTGACGACTTCTCAACCATGCAGCACTCACCATTATCTTCTGAGTCCTCAACCTCTTTCTAACCACATATCATCTCGCCTCGCCGACCGATAAAGGCGTCACCCCAATTGCAAACAGGAGCTTGCCTCATTCATCGCCGGCCATCACTCTCTACATATTTACGACGCTATTTATACCCGCAAGGAGGAAATCAAGTGGAAAAATACAAAGTTGGGGTCTTGGTTTATGGGGGACTGCTGCTCTAATGGGGTTATACATCTTGAGGAAGAACAAGCGGCTGAGATGTGGAGCGAGAGGGGAAAGAGGTCTCTGAAGACCATGCTGGGACTGACATTTTCGAGGAGTTTTCAACTTTGGATTTTGTGTGGGCGCCAAGACTAAGATTTAGGCTAATTAGCCAGGAGGACTTCTTTTGTCGATGAGTCAACGGCACTCCCCAGCGCCCTGGATAGCACAAAAGAAGTTGGGCTAAGCTACCATACAGCAATCACGCTCTGTCAGGACTTTTCTGACATTTCGGCACGACCATCGGGAAGGGGTTGGAAGGAGGCTAGAAAGGCAGAGGGTGAATTTCCCGAGGTACACACAAGTTTGCAGCGCCCAGCTGGCCGGCCTCTTTGAACGCTTCAGAAGGGGCAATATGTCTTCGGATTTATTCCTAATGTCGGTATTAGAAAAGCCCCGCACCCAGTGGTTTTTGCGAAATTTCCCGGCTGCCATACACCCGCAAATGACCATCGTTTCGTTGGCTGGAGAGGGGAGATAATGAAGGGCTAAGGGCTCCTCTTAGTGTATGATCGAATGAGGACTTGTGAGGGGTGGTACTGTTTGAGGGGAGCTGTATGGGAGGCATAGGAGGGGATATACTACTGGTATAGGTATCCTTGGCCTGTAGGCAGAGAGGACCTGCATGTCCTACATAGTCATAGACTCAGACAGGACAATAAAATGAATTAATAATCATAAAATAGGACCTAAACTAGTACCAACATAATAACCAGTGCCAAGAACTGTTCTGTTGTCATAGCAACATCAGGAGAAGGCTAAAATTATAAACTGAAGTTAGGATGGAAAGGAGAATCCTTACAACTACTCATGTAATGGGTTATTATGATTATGAGGTTATGTACAACGTCTTGGAGTTTGGAGCTTAATAGTCTGCGAAGCTGAGGGTATAGCAAGGTGTGGAGATTAAATTAATTAGAATCTATATGTACATATATGTGTATATAAAAGGGATGAAGCAGCCCTATCTATCTCTACAAAAGAAGTGTTCCTAATACCATACGCACGAGCCTCGGCTACTCCCTCGCCGTGCCTTGCTAGCCACACTTGGTTTAGTTCACGTAATGTCTCATTGCTTACACACGCCCATCCATATTGTATATCACAACACTCCCACTGTTGGTAACGACCGTTATGTTATGGGATCTTAATTGATCTGAACTGGGGACTTGACTTTTGTTAAGCTATCGGCAAGTTGGTCTGCGGATTTTACATATGCTACAGTAATCTTTCCTGCCTGATATTGTTCTCGGCAATAGCAATTCCTGAGCGCCAAATGCTTGGAGCGCTTATGGTTATCATGATTTTTGATCAGCGAGATAGCTGATTGATTATCCACGTGCAGAACCATACGTTCAGCTCCCTCAATCAAATTTGTGATTCTTAATTCCTCAAATAGTGACTTTACCCATTGAAGTTGACGACATGTCTCTGTGGCAGCAAGATACTTGGCCTCGGTGGTGGAAAGAACTACCTCTCGCTGCATATGTGATTTCCAACATATCGGTCCAGATACTTACCTGATGAGAGAGCCGGACGTTGATCTACTAGTAGATGGATCAGCCGCAAAGTCCGCATCTGAGTACGCTTCGAGGGTTGGTTTTCCGCTTCCTTTGGTGAAAACAATGCCCTTATCAGGTTTTTGTGCAATGTATCAAAGAATCCTACGGGCTGCATGGAAATGTTCGAAAGACGGGTTGACCAGGAACCTTGCAAGATGATTCACTGCAAATGCTATGTCAGGTCGCGTGTTGTTGGCCAGATATTGGAGACCTCCAACAATTGAGTTATATTCTGTTCTCAATTGTGCCGAGCTTTGTGATTCATTTGGTTCCATGAGTCGTTCCATCGGTGAGGCTGCAGATTTACATTCTGCTAGTCCATGTCTTTCAAGTAGCTTGCGACTATATTGACCTTGAGAGAGCTCAAGCGTATTCTTGTCAACCTGTTTGATGTTTATGCCGAGGAATCTACTTGTCTCAACAGTCTTGAGCTTGTACTTCTTGTGTAGAGCCTGCATGATGTAATTTATTTTGGCAAGACTCGGTCCCATTATCTGGAAGTCATCAACATGTAAAAGTACAAACAGATCCTTTTTATTATTGGCGTAGAGGCACACATCTGAATGCGTCGGATATAGGCCCAAGTTTGCCAATGTAGACTTTACATCATCATACCACAAGGCAGCTGCTTGTTTAAGTCCATATAAGCCTATGCGGAGATGCAGGATATGTCCTTCTTTTTCAAATCCTTTTGGCATTTCCATGAACAAGTCTATGGTCAAGTCAAGGTTTAGGAATGCTGTCGGAACATCTCCTTGGCGTCTATGCCAACCAAATTGATGAGCCAATACAAGTATTATTCTCCCTGTCTCTGGTCTTGGGGTTGGTGCAAATGTTTCATGGTAATCAACTCCCGGCCGCTGCGTGAACCCTTTTGCGGTACACCGTGCTTTCCATTTATCTAAGCTACCGTCTGCAAGGAATTTCTTCTTGAAAACCCACTTACATTTTAAAGGTGTACGGCCGTCTGGCAATTTGCTTCGGTGAATGATTTTGATGGTTCCCGTTTCTTTAAGAGAGCGAAATTCTTCTTGAGCAGCCTTCTTCCATTGATGGGCTTCGGGGCACTTCATGGCTTCCTCCCATGTTGTGGGATCTCTGGCTATTTGAGCTGCCATTCCATGGTGGAGCTTGTGATAGTCGACCTTTTTAACTAGTCTTCCACGCTTTGTGCGTATCATATCGCCGTGGTGCTCCACGCTTGCTTCCTCATTCCTTTCAGGAGAGTGCAGTCGTTTTTGTCCGGCTATCGGAGCTGGATCCCAACCTGTCATTACGAAGTCATATTTTTCCTCAGGGGTCACTTCTAAACTTGACTCCCCCTGAACCGGTGCTTGATCTCTTGGTTGTTCTTGATTTTGATCAGATTCCTCTTCATTCATCT